TCTTTTTAAAGCATACTCTCTTAAAGTGAATCAGTGAATAGTCACTGATATCAGTTATAAGTATAGCACTGAGCACTTTCAGTGCAACACTTATAACCGCAAATCAGTGTATATTCACTGTTTTCAGTGATGTTTCACTGATTCATTTTAAGAGAGTAGGAAAAGTACCTCTACATTGAGAGAAAAAATATCTAAAAATTGGTAAATATTTCTTTCGAATTTCGAAGTTATAACTTCTTAGGCAACTAATTGTTGTGACTGACTGTATAAATATAATAGAGACAACAATCTTCTGTGTATTAATGCCCATCATGATTCTGTTAATCGTATATTTTGTTTTGTAATAACCAAAATACGAACATGCAGCAACATAGCCATCTCGCTCTGGGTTCAGCTGCCCAGTAATGCAGGGTAAGAAGGCTACGTACAAAATATGTATCCTGATTAGTAGAGTCTCTGCGAAAAGTCTTCACAGTCCTTTTGGCGGCCCTTAAATATGGGTCAACTTTACCTCGTTCGCTCATATAGTCTCTTTCTAACATTTTCTGAAGGAAAATTGCATTTATTATCAGTATCGCACATTTGCAAAAATTTTCATTCTAGCTAATAATACATTGCTTAATTGTATTTAATCGCTATTTAATCACGATGAAGAATATTAATAAAAAATTTCGAGAAACTCGAAAATTTACTTGCTATTACCAAATCAGTTTTGTTTTTCAATTTCTTAACTGTAATATTATTCCGATTTTAATGAAACTCAGGGAGAAACATTAATGTCATAAAAGGATTATTTTGCTATTTTATGTAGCCGCCATTCCTCTCAAGATAAATACTAAAAGAAAACACAACATGCGCCTGGGATCATATCCCTCGTCTCTCCTATAGTTTTTTGATCATCCATTTTGTTGGTGCGACGTTTTCAATTCCAAAAGTATTTCAAAGTTATTCGCAACGTCATTATATCATACTTTTTCACTGCGGACAGCAATTATTGTCGATGAACAATAGCGGTAATGACTTTTGACATCCGCCCATGAGCCATTTATCATAATTGCGCGCGCGCGCGCAACGCGTTATCGAAATGTAGAATCATCCGCTGGTATCGCGCGTTAAATGCCGAAGGTCCGACGTGATTTAGAAATTTTGGTGTGGAAATTTACCGCCCTGTCCTCGTTACATTTTTACTTCCCCGTTATTTCCTTATCATCCGGAAAGCATTACACTGACCCAATTTCTTTTTTCCCTCGGAACGTCACCTTTTATAAATATGCGCGACAGTGAACTCTTTTATCACGAGCTCGCAGCGCAGATTGCATTACGATGGGAAAACTTAACCGGCCCTCATTTAACATTCTGCTGAGGCGATGTTGGACATCGATTAAACTTTTTCTTTCTATTAAAATAATTGGCAAGTAATCAATCATTATGTACGAAAGCACGAATGGCTTAATCGATTGATGAAATTAATTATTAATCACATCTTGATTTTAATAATCAGAAATTAATTAATAATTAATTTCAACGACCGACTAAATTACTCGGGATTACAGATATGATGATTAATTTATTTTGATTATTGATTTGTTAATTATTTCAGTCAAATGAAATTTTAATCAATTAATGTACAACGCTCTCGTCAGGCAATTTCTTATGCAAGATTGTAATCCTATATACAGGCAATTTCTTACGCAAGATTGTAATCCTATATACAGAAAAACGTTATTCTAAGACAAAAACGGTTACTTTCCTTTCAAGTAATGTTTATCTTGAGCAAGAAATATTTTCTTTGATAATAGTCTTAAAGTATATTATTTTATTTTAACAAAATTATTATAGATCTTTTCAGGAATTTTAGAAAAGCTCGTTATCGTGCACTAAAAAGAAAAATTTATCCTCTTTCAAAGGTTGTTATGAAAAAATAAAAAGAACGTAGGTATATCTTTGTATACTATGTGAACCGAATTTTTTAATTTAATATTCTTCAATAAAATTGCTTGAATTTAAAATGTATTTTGAATAAGTTTGATGCTTATGATGAGCTTATGATAGATTTGCGGATACATAAACTTATGAAATATTTGAAACAAGTAACATATAACTTGCATGCAATATATTTTTTTCTGTGTGCGCGCATACACACGTCAGCAGTAGCTTACAATTTTTGCAACTTAAAACATCGCAATTTTATTCGACAACAAGTATGCAAACCAATTTACAACCGACTGTACAAGTAATCGTACACCGTGCGGCTTGACACCGCGATGAAAAGCTTAACGATGCGGTTCGTTGCGCTCGCGCGCGTTTTTAACGTTACCAACGGATTTATCGCCGTGTCCGAGGATTTCTGCCCCGAGGACGATTCCTCCCGGAGGCTTATCCCACCCCCCGTCGCTAGGGAACGTCGTTTTACTTCCGGCATGTTTTTCCACGACGGCTCTGTGGGGTGCGTCGCCTTCTCGTTGCAACGAAACGAAGGAGCGCATACGCGAGACCGCCTCAGGTCGGTCCAAGGGTCATGCGAGCCATATGTTTTGTTTATGCATTTATTATGAGAGCAACAATGGCAAGAGGTTCGCGGAGTTCTTTGTAGAACATAGGAGAAATAGCTACACTGAGAGAAAAAATATCTAGAAATTAGTAAATATTTATTTTGTGAGGTACTAACAGTAGAGGAGACCGGGGCTAGATGTCCTACATTTTAGAATTTCAATGTTACAATTTCTCAGGCAACTAATCGTTGTGACTGATTGTATAAACGTGATAGAGGCAATCTTCTTCTATGTACTAATGCCCGCCACGACTCTGTTAACTGTATATTTTGTTTTGTAATAACCAAAATACGAACATGCAGCAGCGTAGCTATCTTGTCCTGTTATGGGGTCCAGTTGCTTAGTAACACAGAGTAAGAGAGCCACGTACGAAATACATCCTGATTAGTAGTTCTAGAATCTCCGCGAAAAGTCCCCATAATCCTCCTGCCGGCCTTTAAATATGGACCAACTTTATCTCGTTCGCCCATATGCTCTATTTTAATCATTTTATGAATGAAAATTGCATTTGTTACTAGAAACAAAATATCATACAATTGTAAGAAATTTTATTCTAGTTAGTAACACATTACTTAATTTTATTCAGTCATGATGAAAAATATTAATACAAAATAAAATAAATATTAATACAAAATAAAATATTAATACATTTCGAGAGTTTCGAAAATTTATTTTGCTATTACTAAATTATTCTTTTCTATTTCTTGACTGTAAAGTTATTATGATTTTAATGAAACTTAGAGAGAAATATTTATACTAATATTAAATATGTTCTAAAAAAATAAGAAAATATTCTTAAAACCTTAAGAAAATCTCAGTTTCTCACAAAAGCAATTATTTATTTATTTTATTTAAATATAAGGATTTGTATTTAAGTATATATAACAATATATTGTTGTTAGTATTCATCAAATAAATATTTATTCAATTTTAGATATTTTTTTCTCTCAGAATATGTTCTAAATGTGATACTTTGCGGATCCTTTTCCACTGTTACTTTTGCATTAAATACATGAACTAAACTAGTGTAGCAAATCCTTGGACCGGTTCATCCCTACATAAAAACGGAGAGAAATAGGTCAACAGAACGGATCGTAGCTGCGAGGACGCGTACAATTAACATACATAAATATAGCAGGGATCAAGATGACGCGGCTACATAATCGCTACGGAGTTTGCACGACGCGAAGTGCTGAATTACCATGATGTTACGATATTGCGATGCAAACACGCCGCGTTGATAGACCGATTGAGGCCGATTGTTTGCCGTGTTCGCGACCGATATAGAGTTATACATCGACCCTCCGATCCCTCCGCGCTTTCGGCGATGTAACCGCTTCTCGACGTCTCATCGAGCAATTTAATCGAGGGCGCGACGGACAGGCGTTTTCGCGATCCCTCTCGTTACATGCGAATTTTTTTCCGTCATCTCTTACGTCAACGGCGGAAAATTAACGGCAACCCGCCCCGTGCCCGGTATTATTCCGTATCGAGAGAAGCTCATCAAACGGCGCCTTTGTGTTTCGCGCTCATTGTGTGCGTCACGCACAATGTTATCGTGCCATTAGTAATAAAGCGACTGCTTATCTCGCTCTCGCGATGAGAAAATTACGAGCGACCATTGTGCTACGCCCTCCCTCTGTCAAATTATACTTCGCGATTTCGCGCGTGATTTCGAGCGACGTGACTGACGAAGAAAGAGAAAAGGAGGGAAAAGAAATCGCTGAGACGGCATGAAAGAGAGAGAGAGGAGGAAAGAGGGGAGAGGACTTGTTCGGTGACGGAATTGTATCGAGTTTTATTGATCGCTCTTTGATCATGCGTGCAGTTTTCGCGACGTGCGCGATGAAAGTGCGCGGCGAAATGAACAATCGCGTTTTAATCGGTCGTAATTCCGCGGGCGAAAATGACGACGAATTTAAAATACGCACTCACGGGCGGCGCACAAGACGTTCCATTAGCGAGTACAAATAATTAATATCGATTATCTGACAGCGCGATACGTTTGGACGGCCGTTAAAATCGCGAATAAATGGCAATTCGCTCGATTCGCTTTCAAAACCGCCGGCCGATTCGACAGACACTTTCTCCAATGCGATTATTCGACTCTCTTTCGTTAGGATCAGCGTAACGCATGCGGAACGTTTTCGTCGAATAATATAGCGTATTAATTGTGTAATTTGCGATGTTTGCATCGCGCGGATATACTCGTGCTGAAGCCGAAATTTACATACAGTAATGAACGATTAGTTTTATCAAATATATTTTGTAATCTAACAGTGAAATATATAATTTTGTCGCGCTGGAAAATATCGGGAAAGCAAAAAATGTTCTATACTGATACATTTTTGAAGCTGCAGCTTGCAGTAATGGACAGGATTGCTCGTTATTTTTAATAGGAAGATGGGGAAAGATATTATTTAGGCTGATACTATATAACGTGTAGTATTACACTGAAAAAATTATTTTTGTATTTTGAATTAAAATATTTGGTACATATGGCCCGGTTGGTATTACATTTTTGCGCTTGTGTCAAGTATTATTGAGAAAACGAAATATGCAAGGCGGCAATTAAATTTTGTCATTACAATTATCAAGTTTCGTTGATTCCATTTAATCGTATATTTTACGGGTCCCGTATTTTAAGCCAATTATATGGTCCGGTGTACCAGATTTTCATTTTCGACAATAAAATCTATTTCTCAGTGTATTGTGTTTGTATGCGTGTCTGTGAGAATTGTAGAAAGAAGGAATATTCATTCCGCTCTTCTGAGCAGTTGTAATCGTGCCAGTCGCGTCGCATTGCTTGTCATCGTTCGCAAAGAAACTGCTGCACAAATAAACTTGTTTAATTGATTTTTGGTCGAAGAAAACAATTTTTGCTCCTTATGAATCTAATCCGATTTCTGAGACCATCAGCTATTCTGTTTCCCTCGACCAAAACGCATTTGGTTTGTTCAATTGTCGAGTTAACTCAGTATTCAAGCAATGCATGACGTATGTGAAAGATGTAGTTCGTGTATGGAAATTTCTCTTCAAACGTGCGTTTCGAAATTATTGAAAAAGTCCCATACTTTTTGGGAAAAATTACTTCTGCACATAAAAAGATATCATTTCACTGCTAAAAAAAAAACGAAATACTCTATTTACTCCTCATCTCTCAAGTAATGATTATCTTCGACAACTTTTTGCAACTTCAACAATTTAATATAAAACAAGCTTTTGTTAAAATGTAATGTATGAAAATAATTTTTATTTATGATCCAGAATAGTTCATAGTTTCTTGATAGTAGTCTTAAATTGTATTCTTTTATTTTTTATGTAAAATTACTATAAATTATTATAATTATTATATTTTTTCACAAATTTTAGAAAAGCTCATTGTCATGTACTCAAGAAAAAGAATTTATTATTTTTTTTGACGTGAATATTAAAAACCTTTATAAAAGAAAGAGTTGCTTCGACTCTATGTAGTAAGCAAATAGAATTTTTATTTTCATTTGATATTCTTCATCAAACTGCTAAACTTACTAGAATATATGTTAAATTTAATGGTTACGATGAAAGCTTATGATAGATTTGTGGATATATAAATTTATGGTATACTTGAAGCAAGGAACATTTACTTGAATACACTGTGTAGAATATTTTTTGTATGCGTGCGTACAATTTTATTCTTTGCTTTCTAAGCTTTCCATATTCGAAATTTTCTACATTATAAATATATTCTAAAGAAATTATTTTTGTATTTGAAACTAAAATATTTGGTACGTACGATTTGATTGGCATTACCATGTTCTTTACTTGTGTCAAGTAGGACGTATCAGTGAGAAAGCGAAACACACACAAGCGACAATGAAATTTTCTGGTTGCAATTACCCAACATTTGCTTCATTTCACTTTCACTAAACTTTGGTTTACTGTTTGGTTTACACTAAATTTTCGTTTTGTCAACTCATTTTGATAAATCTTCTCCTCATTGTCAGCGTAACCTATTATGGTATTTCCTCTATTAACAACATTTATATTTTCGTTTTATAATTTCGAGAAAAATGCTCTGTGTGTGTGCGATATAACGGCAAGGCAAGGTGAACGAGGGAGCAATTATTTCAAGGGCAAATGAAAGAATCGAACTCGTCCGCGATAAGGCGCCGGCATATCTGCCGCCGAGTCCGACCCGAAATCGATGTTGGACCACGAAGCCACGATCTCTCGAAACAGAATCGTGCTCCTCGGAAACGGATTATTATTAAAATCAACGCTCGCCTGGCGAGCTCCCCGATCGCTTTCCCGTCGATCCGCGGGACGATCAGGATCGCCTGGAGCTTTTCCAAACGCGTCACTCGCGAGCTCCTCATTACCGCGCTCATCAGTCATCGATTGCTGCGTCAGGTTTGTTCGCAAATCCGGTCGCCTTTGAGAAGCTGGCGATCGATCGCCGGAAGATCCTTTGACTTCGCCCAGCCTTGACCTAGTTTTCACGGTCGAGCGTCCGTGTCCTTCTCCTGCTCGTGGCGGCTTCAGCGGAATATCCTCGAGGAATTCCTTGCCTGGCGGGAAGGAGACGCTCACGTCCCATCGATCAGTCCGATGGACCCTTCCGTCCTCCTTCTTGCCGCCGGTATGCTCCTTAGTTTTCCGATGCATCCCTCGTCGGGAGACGTTCCTCAGAAATTCCGCGGGCGGCGACGAGACGCTCATGCCCCATCTACCAGGTTGAAACGATCTTCTATGATTCAGCGGTTTCTCGATCACGACCTTTCCCCTCGTGTCATCCGTCTCCTCCTCTTCACTCTTCCGCGTCAACGAGCTCGCCGTTACGACCCTCTCGCCGTCATCCTTCTCATCTCCTTCCTCCTCCTCTTCGTCGCAGTTCTCGCTGCCTTCCTCGCTGTCATCTCGAGGTGGACCGGATTGTCTCAGGTGCTCCTTCACAGGGTGTTCCTGGGGACGGTGACTCCTCCGTTCTTTCGGGATTTTTTCCAAATTTCCGTGCGAACTTTTGTGTCTCTTGGGGCTATTCCGACCCTTCGATCGACGCGAGGTCGGCTGCTGTTCGGAATGCGAATCCGCCGCGGAGCCGAGCAGACGGTTCTTCTCGGGCTCGCGCTTCTTCCCGGACACCTTCTTGTTGTTCTTGTCGCGCTGATGAGCCGCGTACGCATCCCGGAGGAACCCCGCGGGCGGTTTCCTCACGCTTATACCCCAGCGGTGGCTACTGAACTTCTCGTTGGATGAGCTAGCACTCGTGGATTGACTCGGATTTAACTCGGATGAATTTTGAGAAGCCTTCACGCTCGCATTGCTTTGATGCACCGGTGGGTGATGCGCGAGTTTCCTCTCGGTGGAAGCATCGATCTGTCGCGATAAGGGAAGCAGTAAAGATTCTTAAAGCTAAATATTTCAGATTGTTTTTGTTCTTAATCTTTTAAAGCCCCGGCATCGATCCTAAAAATCTTGTTGGATTTTTTTCCATCGTAAGACTTAAAGAACTACTGATAAGGAATATTGTGATCCGGATAAAACTGACCGTCGGGAAGTACGATTTTCTGAATGTATATTTATGTATCGGGTTGATCCATAAGTTCTTGCGGATTTTTGCTCAATTGACATTTACATGTTGGTATTAGATTGGAGATAGTTCCGTATAGTTGATCATCTACGTATATACTTTGACAGTTGATATTTCAGAGAGTATTTCGTGATTTAAGCGATAGTATTTAAAGAAATACAGTTACTTTTGTTGCGGTTTGAGAATGGAAGGCAGTGATGAGTTTTCCTGGCGCGTTATACTTTCTTACTTCCGTGAAAATTGCTAGAGTTTGGCTGGGATGTTTTGCCATACCCAGTGGCGTAGCCAGGAGGGGGCTGAGAGGACTGCAGCCTCCCCCCGAAATTAATTTTCTGGGTTATGTTAAGTGTGAGAAAAATTTTTTCGAATGATCTTATTTTTGCTCGTCAAAAATAAAAAATACAGCCCCCTCGAAACTTTTTTCTGGCTACGCCATTGGCCATACCCATCATATTCAGCCGATATTACCCGCTCCGATTATTATCTGTTTCGCTCATTATACAGGATGCCACTACCGCATTATCTTTTAAGGGCAGATTCCTGAGGTAATTTGAATAAAAAAATCCTAATGCAAAAGTGACGAGGCTATAGTACTTTTCCAATTATAAACGGTTAAAGTTGGCCAATTATACTGGCTAAAGTACGCTACAACACACAATGGTACATGTGTATGCACATATACCATTGATACGGAAGTTCCATACATACAACAATGTATGTAATAATAATCTGCCTTTTCTATCATTTAAATAAATATGTCACAAATAATAACAGTGTCGTCAAAATGTTATGAATAAAATATCATACAATACATTTATGAGAATCAATAAGCTGTCACACATTTGACGTTTCTTTCAGAGATTTATAACTAATTTCCTATCTTATGCAAATTCTCACTTATGTGCGTGTACCTGTACCATTGTGTGTTGTACCGCACCTGAGCGCGCGCACTTTAGCCAATATAATTTAGTCAACTTTAATTGATTATAATTTGAAAGGATTATAGCCTCGACATTTTTGCATTAGGATTTTTTTCTTCAAATTATCTCAAGAATCCGTCCTTAAGAGATAATGCGGTAGTGGCGGGACACCCTGTAGAATTCCCTTGACGGTATAAACTTCGCTTCCTTAGAAGATGTGAAAAATCACTTGCAACGTTCTTTCACCGGTGAAGCAAGAGTTTTACAAGAGAGGAATTATGAAATTATGTGAAAGATTGTCGGATAGAATAGCGCATGTATTATTGATTAAAATTGTTTTTAACAAGAACAAAGTGCATTTCAACTTTGTTTAAAAATCCGCATGAACTTACAAACTGACCCAATACATTCGTGTATTTGCTCGCGTATGTCCCAGATACAGAATTAAACAAATCTTATAACCATGATAAAATGAAGAGCGCCAACCTTGTATTTCGAGACGAGACCAATGAAACATTGCAAGAATAAAGCTTGCTTACTTTTTTTGTGAAAAATTTTGCACTATTTCGAGCGTCAACGATTCTACTCTACACACGATCGCCATATTAATCCTTTTTAGAAGAAAAATCACTGTTTCACGGATTCTGACGAAGAATATAGCTTCATCTAGAATAGAACGATAGTTTTATGTCGGTGGAATCACTACTTTGCCAATATAAAAAATTTGGAATGGATCCGAATACATAATTATAATACATAATTATATATACCGGGCTTTAAAGGATTAATTTCATTTTTAATATTATTTTGACATATTTCATATTCTCTCTCTCTTTCTCTCTCATGTATTTTTTTAATTTCCGAGAAAAATCGCTCACGACTGCACATTAGCGTGAACAATTCTCACTGTTAATTTTTAAGTAATTCCAGTTTAATTTTCTGATTTCTCTTACAGTCTCATTCGGCGATTTCTCACTTCTTTGAAGCAGATCCTCAGAAGTCCCCGAGTCTTCCTTGCCGTTTCCATTAGATTCCGTATTTTCCGGAAGAACTGACATCTAACAGGGGAAACCCGTTAATAACGTAATGAGCACGCGATAAAAGTTTCTAATCTTGTATTGCTCGACACTGCACAAAGAGTGTCGGGGAATTATCTAATTGCGCTTTCCTTCGGCACTTCTCCCGAGTCGAAGTACAACAACGTCAAAAGTATGCGCGCGTGAACTTAACGTTTACCCGAGCGGAGCAATTTCTTTGTGTCTTTACCGTGATCGATTCATCGCTCCTAAGTTCGCTCGCTTTCGTAGTTTCTTCGACATTGTCGAGGACGAGTTCCCCGTTTTCGTTTCTTTTGTGCCCTGCCCATTTTTCTCTCTCCTGTCGTCTTATCTCCTGCATTTTCTTTATCCGCGGATCCGCCACGCTTTGTTCCGGATCCTCGGGTTTTGTAAATTCCATCCCCGCTTTCTTCTCTGTCGATTCTTTCCTGCCGGCACGGTCGACTCGCTGTAACTTCATTTGCAATAATCTGTTCCGCGAATTGTCTCCCGACTGAGGATTCATTTACTGCCTGCGATTTATAATTATCATACCTACAGACCTCTCTCGACATTTTCTCGTAGGACGACCGTGGAATTTTCAGAAATGACGAAATCGCGATAGCGATTCGTACGTATTATCGTTTTCGCGCAAACGTTACGCCACTAAATCTACGATGTTTAAGGGAACGTCATACTTGAAAACTTTACCCATAAAGTACTGACTTCTCTCCGCGAAGTTCACGTCGTTTTGACTGCACGGAATTACAAATGCTTTTGCACAATTAAGGCGCGTGCTAAAATGAATCGGAGAATTGCTCAATATATGACAAAGAGGATGAAAAATTTCAAAATTAGCACTCTGACTTCTCTTCGCGAACTTCATATTGTTTTGACTGCACGGAATTACAAATGCTTTTGCACAATTAAGGCGCGTGCTAAAATGAATCGGAGCATTGCTGAATATGTAACAAAGAGGATAAAAAATTTCAAAATTGACATTTGGGCTATTAGTTGATGTAATAAGATTGTTTGCTACAAAAGTTTTGCATCTTCTATATATTTAATTAGTGTTTACTCCGTTCAGGAAAATTTCAAAAAACTGCTGTATATTTGCAACGGTATTTGGAAGCTTAAAGATATGCCAAAAGCTTGCAGAAAGATTTCTATATATGCATGATTACGCTGGTTGTTCGTAGTAATATATATGTATGTATATATATATTATTATATATAGAAATATATATAATATTTATTATATATATTTATAGAAATATGTGTGTACTTTATTTTACTAAATAGCGTATATTTATAAGATTTATACAAACAAAAATGATAGTATCGTGTTAGTTCTTATCTGATGTTTTGACAACCCTCTTTACTTTAAGAGAAAAAAATATTTGAAAAATAAGAAATACTTATTCAGCGCTAAAATAATTTGTTATACGTAAATCTAAATTCTTTTTGTTCAAATAAAACAATCACTTTAATGAAAGGTTACAGAAAATATATATTTTCTCATTTGAAAGAAATTTTTTCTCAATGTAAAACTCAATGCAAAAATGAATATTAGCACAAGTAAATATGTGATTAATATCCATCGAACAAAATTTTTTTATTTTTTAAATGTTTCCTCTTAGTGTACGTTATCGCCACTTTTGGAGTTATACGACATTCCCTCAAGTAATTTTGCAATTCGTTTTTGCGCGAAATTTCATCGTGTAGAAGCATTTGAAACAATTCTGTGCAACGAATATGATTTTGCGGGGAAGAGTCAAGTGTGTCGCCGGTAAAGCACGGCATTCCCTTAATAAAATAGAAATCTGATCGGCCTAGATGAACACCCAGTATTATCAACGCAGTGACTGACTGCGGTTTCCCGGAATACCTCGGGCCATGGTACTTGTCGGGCGGTTTCCAGCTGTAATTCGGTAACCGCTGAGTGTTGTTCCTGTGCTTTGAAACCGCGAGCTTCTTCCCGAGCAGCCTCGAGTCGGTGTAATCTGCAAACAAGACAGACGCTGGATACTCGGTCCTTAAAGGAGAGACTTAATCACCCACTTGGTTACACTCCGAACAGATAATATGGAATAAACTGAGCCACTTGGAGCTGAGTGTCCTTGTCAAAGAGCCACTTAACGTCTCCGTCTCCCTCCTCCCTCTCTTTCTCACTCTCTCGTCGCGCGTTACCGTCCCCAATTTTCTCGTTTGTCGAACTTGGCGAATATCAGTCCCGCGCGCACCGCCGGTATTACAGCCACGCGAACGCTTATCAAACTTTGCAGTCGCTCGTCTCAACAAACGCATAAATTTCAGTCCGCCGTAACAAACGTGTCTTCTCGGCTTATAGTGCGAATACTCATTTGCTATCTGCCGTTCGTTCTCGCGATATTTATCAACGTCTTTTCCGGCGTTATTTTTCCCACGCGCAGCTTACCATTTATTATTTCTGCTTTCCAATTCTCCGTGAAGCCTCTCTCTCTCTCTTGCGATTGCAATTTTTCAGAATATAAATCTGAAATGTTGCATTTCAGTGTCTGCCGATCGACATGAACAGATTAAATATCTTCGCCGAATGCAGACGCGGGGACGGAAGGAATGCTCGCGTGGCGGAGTACGAAGGCGATAATTGCGGGGGAAGGGGGCCTTCATGTTCGCGCGCAACGTGCGTTAGAGCTCGTAAACGTGCTGATGAAACGAGTGAGTCCGCATCGGCGAACACAGCCGGACTGTGGCTGCACGCGCGTGGCCCGCAATCGGGCGCAGTTTAACGATATTTAATTGCCAGCGAGGCACCGGTAGTAATTGAAAAGATAAAAGCGTAGCAAAGCGTCACGGGGAGAGAGAGAGGCAGAGAGAGAGAGAGAGAGAGAGAGAGAGAGAGAGCCGTCGTTGCCTGTGCAGAGTCCATTTGCCTCTGTTTACTTTTGATTCGTCAACTGCCAGTAACTCCCACGCATACATGCGCGCGGAACACGCGGAAACACGGCGCTGTCACCGCGATCATTTTCCATCGTTTCCTCTTTCGTCTGTGCGTTTGCGTTTTACCGGAAAAATCTAACGATCGGATCGCTTTGATCGACGAGAAAGAATTTATTTCCTCGACCCAGGTTGATTCTCGTCGGAATTAATTCCGTACTCAATGAAGCTGCAAAAGCGAACTCGCGACCGCGTACTCTTATCGCGAACCATGAGAGGTTTGACAACAGAATCCTCATATTTGGAGCTAGAAGTTGCGAGTCTCTGTTTTCTCCTTCGATTTTTATCAGTGAAAAATGATGGCGACAATACACATCGACTGCTGGAGGTGATAATGGCGGAGTTGCATTTTTGCTTTGTGCAAAAATTACTGAAATTTCAAAGATCCAAATTTAGAAGGCATATTTATATATTATATGATTAATTTAGTTAATTATTGAATTTACATCATACGATAGTGCGAATGTTTCGAATGTACGACGTTTCGTTATCATGACTTTTCGAGAAATTTTGTCCTAGTTTCCGAATTTCGAAATCCTGATTTTCGCTGGACAACGCATGCGCGCCGTAATAATCGGCGCACGAATCTCAACGAATCGTGAGACGCACTCAGAGCAGAATATTGGAGGTTAAAGCAAGTAAAAGCGATACAAAAAGGACGCGACTTATAGACGCGATATCGTCCGAAGTTCGGAATAAAGAGAGAACGCTAATAAGATTTGTCACACCAATAAAGGCCGTTGGCGCGCGGAACTCGCGCGATTTCGAGGTAAATTAAGAACGGAAAGGAAATTATAACCCGCATTAACTCGCCGATGGCTGGCACTTTTAAGCGGAATTTAATTTATCTCTTGGCGCGCACAGGACGCGCGCGCCCGCCACTGTCGGCGGAATTAGATTTTGGGCGCGCGCAGCTTTTGTTGAGGGGGGAGGGAAAAAGCAACTTTACCCTTTGACGTCGGAGTTCGACACGGAGTAAACCGTAATCTACGAAGTTAGCAACGTATTGCGAACGCGGATCGATATAACGAGCCGGCAGAGCGGTATCCCCCGGCCTTTATCGCCACGCCACGGAGATTGCATTCGGCCGCGACTTTCATGCGCGACGCGCTCCGCGCACGCGCGCGCGCGCGACTTCGGAGCGCGCGCGTTACGATCCGCGATACGATCCGCGCCGGAAATAGAAAATCGATGCCGTCCCTTTCAAACGGATCCGAGGCTTATCCGCGAGGTTGACGTCGGGGCTTAATCTAATTGTTCGCGAGGCTATTCCGCCGAGATCCAATAAACGCCGAATTAACAGTCTCTTTCTCTTATCGCGCGACAAAATTGTTGGCTGCTGCGATGCTTATAGAGTCTACCGCTTTATATTCAGCGCTAAATGCGGCGCAGTCTAACTCAAACGATCTTTGTCCGCCTCTTGCGAATCATTTATACACACTTCAGTAACCCCCCGGCTCTGTGGATTTATTGACTCACTGCTCGGATTCCTCGTAGCGAGGAATCTTTAAACTCATTGTACGTGATTCATTAAAGCTCATCTTTATTTCACAAACATTCTTCATATTGGATCAGTCGGTTTACTTTTTAAAAATCTCGGATTTATTGATTCATTACCCGAATCCCTCGTAGCGCACGGAATAACCCATTAAAGGGGCCATTATTATTTCACGAACATTGTTCATTATAGGAATAGTCTGTTTAAAAGTCAGATTTATCGATCCTCTATTTGTATTCTTGTAGTGAGCGCGATATGACCCATTAAAGGTCATTATTGTTTCACTAACATTTTTTTATTAACATTTTATTAACATTTTTTTATTTCGACTTGTTTACTCTTTACAGAAATTTCGAATTAATATCAGAACTATTCTTATTTCAACCAGAATTAGGATTTGGGTATCAAAGACATAAAAATGCAGTTATATATCAGACATGCACCCAAAAAAGTAAAATCTCATCCTTCATTAGATCGAACTGAATACAAAATTCCTCTGATTTCATCTGATATAAAAGCGTCTGATAAACGAAACACCGGCCACTAATGACAAAACGATTCACTCTTGAGAAGACATCTTCCAACCATTCAACCTGTAATCGACGCCACGGAGTGAAAACAGAACGAGAAAATTGACGTAAGCAGCAATGCATTCCTGCAGGAGAGACAAAGTGTGTGTGTGTGTGTGAGAGAATGCATAAACTTTTAGGAGGATATATTTAACTCTCTAAATGCATTCGCGCCGTGGATTCACGAGGAGAAAGAGAGAAAGAGAGAAAGAGCGCATGTAACAAAGAGCAAACAGGCGTTCGCAATTTACCATTCAGCCGGCCAACCCGCTCCTAATAATTAGTCCGCCATGGTGGCGCACAATTCGAAATGAACAATTCGATCAAGACGCTGGCGCGGCGCGAAAGTGACAATTTCCAACGGATTCAAACGTGACGCGATAAGAGTTAAATTAAATTATCGCGAGCGCGCCCGGATAATCAACGTGATCCCGGTGCCGTCGTTGCCCGACTTTCTCGGCCGTGATCGATCGTGATAAGAGCGGTGCAAAAGGAACAACGGCAAGAGATCACCGGAAATGTTACCGTGAAGGTGATGTAGGTGGGTAGAGTAAGGAAGGCGTCGTTCTCTCCGTTCGATCTTTTTCCTCCAGAATCGCGACGCTATCGTTGGCCGATCCGCCGGAGCGGATAGAGATAAGGATTCCGTGTTACGTTGGTTACACAACTGGAATCGATTCCGCTTGTTTTTCTTGCGCGCCACTGTCCTACCTGGCTGTTACGTCGTAAATTACGGGCGTAACGGTGGCCCACGATCGCCACCGAGGATCGTGTCGCGGCACTTCCGTCGATTCTTTGCTCACTACCACACGCGCACACTGTAAGCCAACTTCTTCTGTCGAAATCTATCTGCGCAGATTTAGGGAGTAAAGCGCGCTCGCCAAAATTTACGCAGAGTCAATCCGTATAATGCCAGATGATTCAATAGAAAAACTCACTAAAAACACGTTGGTCTTAAGGTAGTTGTATTTCTAGAGACGATATTTTTAAAGACGTATCAAGGGAAGCACTCATAAATCTACTATTTGTCAATCAAAATTACGTTTTTATACATTTATTTAAATATCACTGAAACGAAATCGAGATAAATATATATTAGGTGGTAAACTTAGTTCCTGCGGTTTTTTTGTTTAAAAAATTCATTTATTTCGACATCAAAAGCAAAAAATACATTAATCGAAGTATTTTCTTTCGCTAGCTATACATTTTTCCCATCTTTCGGGCAACGCGTAGATTCCGCGACGATAGAACGATTGGTCTTTTGATGCAATCCATTCGTCGATCAATTTTCGCACATCCTCGTAATTTGTATATGTATTGAAGTGTGTATCCACCAAGCCGTGCTGCATCGACCGGAACAAGTAATAGTCCGAAGGAGCTAAGTCTGGTGAATACGCTGGGTACGGGAGAACTTCCCATTCGAGCTGCATCAGTGTTTCTTTGACGGCTTTGGCAACGTGTGGTCGAGCGTTGTCGTGCAAAAGCATGACTTTACGTCGATTGCTGGCTACTGCTGGCCTTTTTTCCAACAATGCTTCATTCAGACGGTTTAATTGTGATTGATATCGATCCCCCGTGATACTTTCGTTCGGTCTGAGTAGCTCATAATAAACGACGCCGTGCATATCCCACCAAATGCAAAGCATTGCTTTGTGGCCATGAATATTTCTCTTTGGTGTGGATGTCGATGGTTGGC